ACTGCGGTGGTTTGGGTCACAGAATCACGGACTGTCCAAAGCTGGAAGCTGTTCAGCTGAAACAAGCCTCGACGATTGGCCGGAAGGATTACCTATCTGCAAATGCTGCAGATTATTAAAGTTTTTTTGTTTTGATTTTTGCAAGATTGAAAATGAATGTGCGACATTTTTTTATTCATCTTCAAAATATTCAATGATCTCAGAATAGAGTATAATTACCGTATTCACGCGGACTTTCTGCGCTGCATTTTCCGTCTTCGACACCAAAAATAAGACTCGCATCAAAATCGATGAAACCTCAAAATTCGCATGCCAAAAGCCCATGTAATCGATTTTCCACTATTTACTCAACGGATATCTTTCATCCCACGAGGAATAGTTGAAAGCATCGTGTGAATTACGTACGAAAACTTCTAATTCTAAGTTTAAATGTAATGAAGGGTCTTGCAATTTTTTTTGTCTAGCTTTCCCAAGTGCAATGAGATTCATAATGTTCCTTGTACGGTTAACATAAATTCAAAATTGCAGCAAGTCCCTAAAATGAAGTTCGTTGTCGCGATGCATTACGTTGGAGAATATTTTTAATAGAGCTCATATTTTATTTTGGTAACCTAGTACAACTTAGTTCCTGGGTGATCGTGAAGCGATTATCAACATTTACTAGTTTTGGCTCGAAANCGTGAAGCGATTATCAACATTTACTAGTTTTGGCTCGAAACATTTTTCACTTCGACAGGCTAATTATTCGTAAATGACTCTGGTTCGCGTGAATGCGTAATTTTGTGAATTATCTTGATATTTTTTCAATATTGTGTCTGGAATTCGAAGGGTTTTTTTTTTTCTCATCCCACCTTGTCTAGGAACGATGTGACAGTGTCAAACTAATCCGTGTCTCTTCGGTTCAATATTGTGTTTCATTTGATGCGAATGAAATAAGTCGAAATGCCTCAGTTCCACGAAGCATGGAATGTGGAGAGGATGCGCAAGGGCATCAAAGCAAAACGCGCAACTGGCCGAGCAAGGAGTCACACAGACTCGGACGCAGCATTCCTGCGATCATCAGGTGATGCAGATGCTGAAAGCGCTTTACCTGCTCAGTTCCGCGTTCGTCTCCACTCGTTGTTCCATCAGATTGAAAAAGAGTTCGAGTCTCTGTACCTGGAAAATCTTGCACGTGAGTTGAATCTCGTTCGTTCGATCATCATAGGAATCCTGGGTGAAGTGAAAATATCTTGATTTTTGTTCTATGAAGTATCGGAAAGAAACGAGCTTCTGGAGAAAGAAAGTGCGAGTGGCGATCAGAGAACTTCCATTACGACGTCGGATGTTGATCATCCCAAGGGAAAAGGTACGCAACGAATCTAATGTATAA